GGATAGGAATAGGAATAGAATAGGAATAGGAGTAGAATAGAATAGGAATAGGAGTAGAATAGAATAGGAATAGGATAGGAATAGAATAGAATAGGAATAGGATAGGAATAGAATAGGAATAGGAACAGGATAGGAATAGAATAGGAATAGGATAGGGATAGGGTAGAATAGGATAGGAATAGGGATAGAATAGGAATAGGGATAGAATAGGAATAGGATAGGAATGGAATGGAATAGAATAGGATAGGGATAGGATAGGATAGGGATAGAATAGAATAGGGATAGGATAGGGATAGGAATAGAATAGGATAGGAATAAAATAGGATAGGGATAGAATAGGGATAGGGATAGAATAGGTGTTGGGATAGGAATGGAATAGGAATAGGATAGGAATAGAATAGGAATGGGATAGGAATAGGATAGGTATAGAACAGGATAGGATAGGAATAGGATAGAATAGGAATAGAATAGGGATAGGGATAGGAATAGGATAGGAATAGAATAGAACAGAATAGGAATAGGAATAGGAAAGGAATAGAATAGGAATACGAATAGAATAGGATAGGAATAGGGTAGGATAGGAATAGGGCAGGATAATAATAGGATAGGAAAGGAATAGGAATAGAATAGGGATAGGAATAGGATAGGTATAGAACAGGATAGGATAGGAATAGGATAGAATAGGAATAGAATAGGATAGGGATAGAATAGGGATAGGGATAGGAATAGAATAGAACAGAATAGGAATAGGAATAGGAAAGGAATAGAATAGGAATACGAATAGAATAGGATAGGAATAGGGTAGGATAGGAATAGGGCAGGATAATAATAGGATAGGAAAGGAATAGGAATAGAATAGGGATAGGAATAGGATAGGATAGGAATAGGATAGGAATATAATAGGAATGGAATAGAATAGAATAGGAATGGAATAGAATAGGAATAGAATAGAATAGAATAGAATAGAATAGAATAGAATAGAATTCTTTATTGGCCAAGTGTGATTGGACACACAAGGTATTTGTCTTGGTGCAAATGTTGACAGTGTACATAAAAGATACGTTCAACAAGAGTCAAGAATCATAATGTACAACACTTAATGATAGTCACAGGATACGATAAGCAATCAAATCATACTAGGAAACAGTCAATATAAATTGTAAGGATACAAGTGACAGAGTTAGAGTCCTACAGTCACAATTGGGAGGGAAGGGGTGATAAGGAGTGATGAGAAGATTAACAGTAACAGAAGTATAGAATCAAGGCCACACCTGGAATGCTGCATCCAGCTTTGGATTACCCCAAAAAAAAAAATTACAAAAAAAGATGTTGAGACTTTGGGAAAAGTGCAGAGAAGAGCAACTAGGATGATTAAGGGCCTGGAGACTAAAACATACAAAGAACGGCTGCAGGATTTGGCTCTGTGGGGGACATGATAGCAGTATTTGAGGGGCTGCCACAAAGAGGAGGGGGTCTAATTATTGTCCGAAGCACCAGAGGACAGGAAACAATGGATGGAAACTAACCAAGGAGAGGGGCAACCTAGAATTGAGGAGAAACTTCCAAACAGGGAGGAGAATTAACCGTTGGCAAGGATTGCGTCGGAGAACTTTTCAAGAAGAGACTGGACCGTCGCTTGTCTGAAATGGTCCAGGGTCTCCTGCCTGAGCAGGGGTTGGATGTAGAGTTGTAATTGCAGGAATGTTCCAATCTCGGGTGGCAAACCTCAGATAAAGAATGTTTCCAAGCAAATACAACTCAGGTAAACAAAGTCACTAATCTAAAGGAGGATTAGAGAGAGGAAGTAAACATATGTTAGACTTTAATTAGAGATAATTAATTGTATTAATTACGGTGCTAAACAGTAGCGAAAGTTAAGCAGTAACCGAAGTTAATCAATGATGGAGGATAACTAAAAATGTGTATAAATGCAAGACTAGACTCCAATAAAGACCATCGTGATTCAGTCGTTCATGATCAAACAACTTGTCTGCCTCGTCATTACAACAGTTGGACTAGATGACCTCCAGGGTCCCTTCCCGCTCTATTCTGACTGATGAAAGGCTCCTTCCGGAAGGCTCCTGAGGGATGGAATGGCTGTTGAGTGGCCTCTGCCCCACCTACCCGGAGGCCTTCCGAAGGAGGCGTCTACTGCGTTGGCCTGTGGTTTCCTATACACCACCCCCCCCCCCCCCCCCGTCTAGGGTCCCGCCCGGCCCGCCTTCCCTTGGGGGCGGGGCGGCGGGGGGAGGGCCCCCCCCCCCACCCTCGG